CGCTATCCAGAAACGTGGTGTTCAATATCATCAAGGAAAAGACAACGTCAGATTTGTCAAATACGTACGAAAAATCATCGGCTATGAACAAAGTGTATTTGATGCGGAGATTGTTCAATCTACAAATGTCTGAAGGTGGATCTGTTGTTGATCATATAAATGAATTCATTATGATCGTAAGTCAACTGAGTTCGGTGGAAATTAATTTCGAGGATGAAACTAGAGCATTGATTTTGATGTCATCTTTACCCGAGTCGTGGGTTACTATTGTTGCCGCAATCAGCAGTTTGCGATGATTTGATAAATTGAAGTTTGATGAAATTCGAGATGTAGTTATCAGCGAAAGTATTCGCAAACGAGAAATTGGAAATTCATCTGGCAGTGCTCTCAATGTTGACCAACGGGGAAGAAGTAAATCGAAGGGCCCAAACAAAAGGCGATCAAACTCAAAGAACCAAAAAAAATCTCCAAATAGACCAAACGTAACGTGTTAGAATTGTGAAGAAAAAGGTCACTTTCGGATAGATTGTACAAGACCAAAGAGGAAGCAGAATCACAAATCTAGAGATGATGATGATTCTATAAATTCAGCAGAAGACATTGGGGATGCTCTAATCCTTAGCGTAGACAGTTCGATTGAATCCTGGATTTTGGATTCAGGTGCATCTTTTCATTCGTCTCCAAATAAAGAGTTGTTATGGAATTTCAAGTCTGGAAATTTCAAGAAGGTGTATCTTGCCAACAACAAAGATTTGGAGATTAAAGGAAAAGAGGATTTCTGCATAAAAACTCCGGCAAGAAATCAGTGGACATTAAAAGATGTCAGATATATTCCTAGTCTCAAGAAGAACCTGATCTCTATTGGTCAGTTGAACAGCATAGGTTATGCAACAAAGTTAGGGAAGAGTTCGTGGAAGATTATGAAGGGTGCTACGGTGGTAGCACGTGGCTCAAAATCTGGAACCTTATACACCACTACAGGGTGTATGAACATAGCTGTTGTTGTTGAGAGTGTTTCAAATTCAAGTCTATGGCACAATAGACTTGGACATATGAGCGTGAAAGGAATGAAGATGTTGGCTGCGAAAGGAGTTTTAGAAGATCTGAAATATGTTGATGTGGGTCATTGTGAGAACTACGTTATGAGCAAGCAGAAACGAGTTAAGTTCACAAGGACTGCTAGAGAATTGAAGAAAGTGCGGTTGGAAATGGAACCAGATGTGGAGCAAGGTTCGACGAAGCAAGTGGGAGTTGAGCTTGAGTTGCAAGAAAACTCACTTAATGATGTTGTAGCAACAACTCATGAAACTCTTGAGACTAGTGCTGAGGAACCAGATGTGGAGCATGGTTCCAAGGCAACGAAGCAAGTAGAAGTTGAGCTTGTGTTGCAAGAAAACTCACTTAGTGATGTTGTAGCAGATACTCAAGAAACTCCTGAGACTACTGCTGAGGAACCAGATGTGGAGCAAGGTTCCAAGACCACGATGCAAGTGAGAGTTGAGGTTGAGTTGCGGAGAAAATCACCAAGTGATTTTGTAGTAGATACTCAACAAACTCATGAGGTTGTTGCGGAGGAATCAGCAGTGGAGTAAGTGACACCTGAACCGGTGTTGAGAAGATCATCTTGTACTATCAGAGTACCAGATATGTGTGTACCTTCATTACACTATCTATTGCTGATGAAAGAGAACCACAACCCTTTGAGGAGACCCTACAGTTGGAGAATATAACCAAGTGGGAGCAAGCCATGGATGATGGGATGTCTAGGCTTCAAAAATGCGTTGTATTGAGGCTGAGTACGTGGCAATAGCTGAAGCTGGAAAGAAGACGATATGGATGACTGACTATCTGGAAGAATTGGGCAAGAAGCAGCACGAAAAGATTCTTTATAAAGATAGTCAGAGTGTCATACAGTTGGCGAGGAACCCGGTCTATCATTTAAAGATAAAACACGAAAGGCGATACCATTTCACTTGAAGGTTAGTGGAAGATGGTGATGTGCTTTGAGAAGATAGAGGGTGCAAAGAATCCAGCAAACATGTTGACAAAATGTGTTAATGTTGGAATATTGAGGTTGTGCAAAACCTCAATTGGTATGGTGCAGTGAAGATATTCATAATCGTTTGAGAATGAAATTCTTGGTTGATTGGATCAGTCTCCAAGTGGGAGAATTGTTAGGTTATGGAGTCTGCTCTCATATTTATAGCTTGGTCAACGATTATATCCGATAAAGCTATATTTGGTAAAGTTATATCCGGTAAAGCTATATTTGGTAAAGCTATATCCGGTAAAGCTATATATGGTAAAGCTATATATGGTAAAGCTATATCCGGTAAAGCTATATATGGTAAAGCTATATATGGTAAATAGCTATATAAAGTAGATGGTTAAATATGGTAAAACTATATATAGTAAATAGCTATATATAGTAGATGGTTAAATCTTTGAACTATATATATATCCTGTCCGGTAGAGCTTTGAAAATGTACTTTATGTATTCTTTGTATTCTCTATTAATGTGTATATTTGAGTCATCAAAATATAAATCCTCTAGCTAAAGTTCTCCTTGCATTTTCTCTATCCTGGGGGAGTTTTTTTTTTTTTTTTGTTGATGGGTCGTCTTCTTTTCTACTTTTCTTACTATTTTCACACTAATTCTTCTCTTCTTTTTCGTGTTTTTCCTTGATGGGATCCTATGAGAGAAGAAATAGAAAATAAAAAGAAAAGAGAAGAAAAGGGGAGAATAAAATAAAAAAGAAAACAAAAAACGTGAGCGGCAGGATTCGAACCTGCGCGGGCAGAGCCCACATGATTTCTAGTCATGCCCGATAACCACTCCGGCACGCCCACGGATGTGTTCAATGTGTTGATTTTATTATTTTAATATCATATACATAAAATAAGAAAAGAAATGGAGATGCGGGGTATCGATCCCCGTACCTCTCGCATGCTAAGCGAGCGCTCTACCATCTGAGCTACATCCCCCATTTGCTTAAACAATAAGTTTAAAGTTTATTATCATAAGTTATAATCAAGTATTTAATACTCCACTTTAGAGCGATAATTTGTAAATGTTTCGAGAATATCGTAATAATAATTAACAACAAAGTTTATCTAATTAGTAAAGGATAAAATTTTTAAATTAACACAGAATAAAAAGAATTCGACATAAATGTCAGTTTGAATCTCATTCCTCACCCTACCTCGAAAATAAATGTGGGGTTAAAAAAACTAATATTCATCTTTGAATAGAGATATGGGCATCAATCTCTAATTCTCCCATACCTCTCGCATGCTAAGCGAGCACTCTACTATTTGAGCTACATCTCTTATAAAAAAAAATCATATGTTTAAAATATATGTAATTTAATTTCAAATCAACTTTTAGTAACAGTAGTATATGATTTTACAAATAATTTTAAAATATTATTACAAAATGAATTAAAAAATAATTAAAAATAGATTTAACTAGAAACTCTTCCGAGCTAATCCAAGAAACGTTATCCATAAATATAATTTAATTTAATTTAAAATTAAGGGTTAGTATGTATCCTAGAGTTGATAAAATATTCTAAAACTATTAATATCTTAAAATATCTAAATATATATTTAACTTATTTAAATTTTATATAAATTTTAAATAAATATTTCAATAATTATTTCGAGTCAATCATACAATTAGAGTTGAGTAGAAAAAACCGAAATGACTACTTACTTATCTACGACTAGTCATACCACCTTTCACCACGCCACCAACTTTCGAAATTGACTTTTTTCTTTACCAGAAAATTAAAATGAAAATAGGCATTATCCTTACAAAAAAAAAAAAAAAAAAAAATCATTGATAAAAAATAATACGAACTTTGTCCAAATTTAAAAGAATTCCACCTATAAAAAATAAAATCTAGATTTACCATATGAGTAATTATTTTTTTAAACAAAATGCAAATTCAAACGTTTATTTATGCCCGTCTTTATTTTTTTATTTAAATACATAAAGCACTTCCAAACAAACACAACCAAGCAAAGCTATTAGAGATTTCAATATTATACCATTACGTAGATCTGTGATTCTTAACAAAGCTTACATCGAGAATATATTTACTTTTCATCGATCCTGATTTCATATCCTCCTAATTTTTTTCGATTAAACATAACATTTTTAAGAAAGGCCAGAAACATTTTTAAGAAAGGCCAGAAACGCATCCTTTTTAGGCATAACCTGCTTGGGCACGCTATGGTTCACGAACTCTTCAATCCATTTTGTCAGGTTTGGGAACTTGTGGGCTATGTGCAGCTCATATCCTAAAAGCTTGTTCAGTGGCAGGAATCCAGCCGGCTAAAATAAGGCCTACGATGTCCACCAACCCAATTTCCTCTCCTCCAAAGAACTTGTTTTCAAGCTCACTCTCTATTGCCTCCAATGTCCTCTGCGCTTCTTCTATAGCCTTCTCTCGCTTCATCTGTTATTCGAGTAGTTTTATGCACACCAAGCACAATCTCGACTCCAAAATTAAAAGTTTCTGTTACCATGTTAAAAGTCCAATTTTCATTACTGTTCGAGAGCTCCATAAGTCTCAAGAGAGTCTTATAATACAAAGTCTAAAATTTATAAAAATATACATATATATATATATATATATATGATAAGTCTAAGATTGAAATTAGTTTTTTACTGACATCATACAAAGTTTAGAAATATTATTATTAATTTAGCCTACCATTTAATATATTAAACTATATTAAAATTTATAACATATTTTAACTTTAATACTCTTACAAAACAAAATTAAAAAAGTTTAAAAAAATGATAAATTTGGGAGAAATGGAATAAGACGTGGAAATATCTCTGAGTATTAGACATTGTCAAGGCGGCCGACAATTCTTAGGTTGACTGCTTCAGCTTTACAAGTTTGAATAATTGTTTATTCAAAAATTCAAAACAAAAATGTTTCTAAAATACCTGTAATACCCCCAAGCCTATAATTTATTCTAAAATATATTCATAAGAACTTTTATTTTTTTATTTAAATATAATAAAATACTTTATTTAAAAAAACACACTCGACAAAGTTACATTTAGCCGTTGGTAAATCCAAACGTTATGGCATTTGATTTTAATATTTTCGCTTAAGCGAAACATTTTTTATAAAGATAACAAGCGCATCCTTTTCAGGTAGAATCTGCTTAGCCACAGTGTGGTTCGCGTACTCTTCGATCCATTTTCTTAGATTTGGAAACTTGTGGTTCAAGAGCTTAAATCCTACCGCTTCTTCAATGGCAGGAATCCACCCAGCAAACACGAACCCTACAATATCCACAACCCCCATTTCGTCTCCTCCGAAGAACTTCTTGTTTTTAAGCTCATTTTCAAGTGGTTCAAACTTGTTATGCAATTCTTCTATAGCCTTCTCTCTCTCCTCTTCTTTGCTTAGAGAAGCTTTCTGCATTGCGGGCACCACCTAAAAAACAAAAACCTTACTTTTCCACGAACTTCTACAATAGTATAATATTGTCACTTTGAGTATAAACTCTCATACTAATAGAGACATATTTCTTATTTATAAATTCATGATCATCCACTTAATTACTCAATGTGGGACTCAACAATCTTCCCCTCGAACAAAGTATATCATAGAGCCTCCTGTGAGGTCTATGTAGCTCTTGAATAGCCTTCCCTTAATCGAGGCTCGACTTCTTTCTTTGGAGTCCTCAAACAAAGTATACCCTTGACTATACTTTCGAAACTCACAACTTCATTATTCGACATATGAGGATTTTATTGATATAAATAAGTTCAGGGCATGACTCTGATACTATGTTAGGAACCACAAACCTTTACAATGGTATGATATTATCAATTTTGAGCACAAATTCTCATGATTTTGCTTTTAGTTTCTCCAAAAGGCATCATACCAATGGAGAGGTATGACATTTGAAGATTTTATTGATATGACTAAATTAAGGGCATGACTCTAATACCATATTAGGAACCACAGAACTTTTACCATGGTATGATATTGTCCCCTTTGAGGTTTTACTTTTTGTTTCTACAAAACCTCTCATATAAATAAATACATTTTCTTTACTTATAAATCTATAATTCAACCATCTTCAACAAAACTAAGCCAAAAACTAAAAGAATAAAAAAATAAAACGTACCAGGTCATCGATGTACTTGGCCCAAAACCTAGCTTGAGCTCGATCATAGGGATGTTCGGGGAAGATGGGATTGTGTTTCCAGGTCTCTTCGATGTATTCAAGAATGACCACGGACTCTGAAATGGGTTTGCCATTGTGGACAAGAACAGGCACCTTCTTGTAGATTGGGTTGTATTTAAGAAGCAAATCGCTCTTGTTGTTGTTCAACAAATCTTCTTCAATGTGTTCATAATCCACGCCTTTGAGTTTGAGAGCCAACTCGATTCTCCGGCTAAAGGAGCCTGACCGGTAACCAAAAACCTGTACTTCTTCCGCCATGCCTTTCTCTGCAAAACTAAATGGGTTTAAGTAGAGAGGAATGGCGAGTCTTAACTGCTGGGTCGTTGCACTCAAGACTCTGCCATGTCAGCATCTTGGGGTCCAAGATATTGGTTTCGTAAGCCATTACGTAAGTGGTGGATCTGCTTGTCTCCCCTTCGCTAATTATTGTGCTCATCTTTCCACACCAGTACCACAACTTTTTTAATTATTCCCATTTTACCTTCAACTTGATCTGCCAGCTTTTTATATACATGGACCCATACATACATACATACATACATATTGAGCTATATACAAGAAGATGAATAAACTACCCATCTACTCATAATGAAAGTGGACTCAAATGCTATAGTTAATATTGATGTTGTCAAAATACACTTGCTCAAAATGGTCGTGCTAAGATAAAACATCGTCATGTGACTAAGACTAGCTTAATCCTTCTCTTTCACTCTCATCTTTCTTCTCGTTTCTGGGTTGACACCTTCAACATTGCAGCTTATATTATCAACTGGTTGCCTTCCTCACTTCTTGGAGGTAAATCACCCTTTGAACTCCGAGCTACTCTCCGCATTATGAGAATTTTCATCCCTATGTTTGTCCTTGCTTGCGTGATAATATACATAACAAGCTTTCTCTCCGCAACATCTTTTTGGGTTATAGTCTCGTTCATAAAGGGTTTCGTTATTTTCATCCTACCACCACTAAGCTTTACATCACCAGTCAGTCTAAATTTGATGAAACTCACTTTCCTGTTGTCCATAACTCCTAGGCCTAACCTCTCTCATCTCTTCATATTTCAAATGATGGTTTACCATGTGTATCATATTTGACTATTTATTAATCGCAAATATAGATATTTATCTTTCTTATTCTCTTCATTTATTTTTATTTTCATATCATTTGTAATTTACTATATTTATCTCTTCTGTAAATGATTATAAATAAAGAACTTTCACCACTATTTAGTTGGTTTTAGCAAATATTCTCACACAATGTCCATAGCTTTCCTCATTACAATGTCCATGATCTTTAAGCTTGACAATATATCCACTCGAACGATGTTCTCTTAACTATTTAAATTAAGTGAGTTTTGAAAATAGGCTTCGGTCTCTTTAAAATTGGCCTCCAATTTGGTATGAAATGAATTTAGCGTTGAGAACCCTCCAAGTTGCTTCCTTAAAAACCGTAAGAAAATGTTACTTTCGTAGAATTTGAACGGCCAAATTGTGTTCTAATTCAAAATTTAAATTAAGAAAAATGGTTTAGCATCGAGAGACTATACCAAAAAGATTCAATTCAACCGATAAAATACCTCAAACTTGTACACATCTCGACAAAGAAACTAAAGACATAAAGTTCATAGCTTCTTTACACTCAAAACAAAAGCATCTAGATAGATGCATAGATGCTTGCCACTTAGATTGTGTGGACGGAAATCATACAATTTGAGTGTCTTCATGTCCTAACAATAACACTAGATGAACCTATATTATATTCACGATAGAGACCTCTCAAAGCATACTCATTGTACATGTAGAAGCTACTATGTATCTTGACTCATGACGTGATTTGAACGGTCATCAACCACCCTACATCCTCGTGTTTTTGTCTTTAAGAAAAATCTTGTCTTACAAATCACTTTTCTATTTGGGACCGATTAAGTGGATATTTTTATTTCCAATTCTTTTATGTAATTTTAAAATTTTATTCTTTGCTATATTGTATTATTTTTTTTTATAGCTTCATAGGATTTAGAAATTAAGTTGTATTTTTAGTTTCAGTTGATGGAAAATGGACATCTTGAATTCTTTTTTATTCTTCCCTGTATTATTATAAACTTTTATTCTTATTATTCTTATTCTTCTTATTATTATTATAATATTGAGAGCTTCATGATATTTTAAATTTATCCATAAAAGTAAAATACTGAATATATTATTTTAACATAAAACTTGCGGTTTTTTATCATGAGGGGATGTAGCTCAGATGGTAGAGCGCTCGCTTAGCATGCGAGAGGTACGGGGATCGATACCCCGCATCTCCAATTTTCTTTTCGTTAATTTTAATTAAAAAATATTATATTTTAAAATAATAACCATACTTTTCCAAATGTGGGCGTGCCGGAGTGGTTATCGGGCATGACTAGAAATCATTTGGGCTCTGCCCGCGCAGGTTCGAATCCTGCCGCTCACGCTTTCATTTATTTTGTTTTTTTTTGCGATTTGAGTATTCCTTCCTGATTATTATATTATTTTTTATTGTTAAAAATACTTAGAATTTTGAAGGTTGTTCTAATTATTATATTATTTTTTATTGTTAAAAATACTTAGAATTTTGAAGGTTGTTCTAGTTGGGTGCTTGTGTTTCTAATGCTTTGGAACATTTCTCATACAAAAGTATCGAAAGCAATTTACATGCGTGCAACCATGGTGGCTTTTGAATACATTAGGAGGGTTATCGAGCATGGATACCTTTTGATTAACTACGGAAAACTCTCGGTTGTTTATTAGGGTTGAATTGTTACAGAAGACAAATGAGATCGTGCAGAAGATCGGAGTAAGAATTCAGACGGCACAAAGCAGACAGAAGAGCTACGCCAACGCCAGAAGAAAGGATCTTAAATTTGAGGTGGAAGAACACGTGTTTCTCAAGGTTGCTCCTATTAAAGGATTGTTGAGGTTGGAGAAGAGAGGAAAACTTAGCCCCCGTTTAATAGGCCCATTTAAAATCCTAGAGCGTATAGGACCAGTGGCATAAAGATTAACTTTGCCACCAGCTCTCGCTGCCGTTCATAATGTGTTTCACGTATCCATGCTCATAAAGTACACCGTCGATTCCTCACACGTGGTTGACTTTAAATAAACCACTACCTGAAAGATTTGAGTTATTACAAGAAATACCCCACGAGGATCCTAGCAAGATTGGGTGAAAACTCTGTAGAACATAGAAATCGATCTGGTAAAGGGGCAGTGGGATAACCCACTTGCCCGAAGAATCAACTTGGGAACGAGAGAGTAATACGAGGATACGATACCCAAAACTGTTTCAAGAAGTAGGAACTTTGGATGACCAAAGTTATTAAAAGGGGAATAAAAATCAAAATAAAAATAAATAAATTAAAAAAAAAAAAAAGAAAAAAAGAGAAAAGAAGAAAGCTAATGACAAGTGCCACCGCCGACAACCATAGGCAGCGAAAGACCGCTTGGGTCGGCCGCTTGAGAGAAAACGGAACGGGAAAAAAGTTCGGCGACCACAGAGATAAGGGAAGGAGACCCAAGGACAACCAACCTAGGTGGCGGTCCAACTGGGCCGGTTTTGCTCCTTTTGCGTAATTTCTCCTTCGATTTTGTTTGGAGTTGCCTAAGGACACAAACTCGAATAAAAGTTTTATGTTTTTTTAAGTAGGTGGCACCTCAGAATCTAGGAATTTTAGGAATTTGATTACATATGTATGAGCATAGAATGAGTTGGGATGACACAAGTTGAATATGATTATGTATGTTTACTGAAACACGTATACACTATTCTATGGACTAAAATTTATGACAAGGTTTCCATGTTCGGATTATTATGATATGTCTGTTACATATGTTGCAAACGGTTAGGGGTTCGCCAACTAACTTCTAACCATAAACCTGACTCGATTGTTTAGGGTTCCGAATAACTTTAGAACTGCCCATTTTACCATTACTCAGGGGGACTTCTAGAAAGTTTGTCAGTTAATTTCCTATTAGTGAACCTTTCACGAGTGGCAGGGGTCTACAGTGGTACATTAGAGTTGGATGATCTTGTGACTCTTGATTTATTGATCATGCATATGAGTTAGCGGTTATATTGGGACGATTAGGGGTTCGCCAACAAACCCCTAATCGTAAACCTAGCTCAATTTTCAGGGGTTCGAATAACTATAAAACTAGCCTAATTTATTGCAGCTAGTAGTTTGTGGGGACTATAAGGAGTTCGCCAGTTAGATTCCTTTGGTGGCGGAGTCCACAGTAGTATATACTTGAGAGTTGGTCCATTCCTAGAATGCATGAACCTTAAGTACCGAGGACTTGGAGATTGGATGATGATGAGAGAGTAGTATAAATGACTAACCTGAACTTGAGAATATTTCGATCGCTCGAGGTCCAATTGGAGATTTTTTTTTTTTTTTTTTTTTGTACTTATGGACCTTACGAACTATCCGTGTCATCTTTTGTGTGTGCTTCGTGTGGATCTTCAGTTCGTGATGCATTTTAAATAATGTCGTACTAATACTAAACTTTTTTTTATGTGCATACACGTCTAAAAGTTTCAAATTTTACACATTTTTACTTATTTTCAAGTCAGTGAATAACGGTTCGTGACTCGAGTCCCTCGAAAAGTGGGTCGTTACACAAACGCAATTCTGATTTGTGTATAAATTCATATGTGTGAGTGTGCCGGAATGGTTATTGGGCATGAGTAGAAATCACGTACTAATTTTGGGGCTCAAAATTAATTAAACATTCGTGCTGGTGTGTGGAGTCTATCATTATGAGTTGGAGAAGACATCTTTGAATTTATTAATTCTTACATTTATTTACCGTGTAGGGAATTCTTTTTTATTCTTTGCTATATTATGATAAAAAATAAAAATAAAAACTTGTTATTATTATAATATTGATAGCTTCATAATATTTTAAATTTATCCCTAAATTAATACTAAAAGTATCAATTTACTATTTCTTTATTTTGATATAGATTATATTTTAAATTTACGCCATTTGTCACGAGGGGATGTAGCTCAGATGGTAGAGCGCTCGCTTAGCATGCGAGAGGTACGGGGATCGATACCCCGCATCTCCAATTTTCTTTTCTTATTTTATGTATATTATATTAAAATAATAAAATCAACAAATTGAACACATCCGTGGGCGTGCCGGAGTGGTTATCGGGCATGACTAGAAATCATGTGGGCTCTGCCCGCGCAGGTTCGAATCCTGCCGCTCACGTTTTTCATTTATTTTGTTTTCTTTTCGATTATTATATTATTTTGTCTCCTTCCTGTTTATTTTATTATTTTGTTTATATTTAAGCAAATATTTCTTTTTATCAAATCAAATAACGGAATAATAAATTTAATATTTTCAAATTAAACATTATACTTGTATTCATTATATGGACTAATTAATTAAAAAAATGACGGTTGGGTATTAAATTTCAAAAAACTTTTTAAACTTCAAATGTAATTTTAAAATAAAATATTAATGATTTGGGTATTTTTAGACTTTTTTGAAAGTTTGGGTATTATTGAAAATTTTGAAAGGTTTTAAGATATTTTTGATACAAAATATAAAGTTTGGAATTATTTTTAATAATTTGGCCTAAAATTCATAGTTTAAGGAGTAATCCATTTTAGTTGACGAGTATCACGAGATATTTCCTATAATATCCTAACAGCTCCGTAGTTGGAAACAATGAGAAGTCGTCCATCACTAATTCATGACAAGTAAGTATGTGACAAAATAAACAACAAATGAGCATGACTAACCAATTTACCCTAAGACACTAGATAGAGGTGAACGTGTGGAAATGTTAGAGGGTCTGATTTATCTGGTTGGTGGGACAGAAAATGACAGTTATGTAGCCATTGTGATCGCAAATTTTCTAACCGTTCAATATAAAATAGGAATTATATATATATATATATTATAAAAGTTAGGGTTAATTTTGCAAATTTACAACTTGAGAGCTATTTTTGCAAATTATAACTTTACAAATATGGAGTTCACGTGGGTTAAATTTCCATATTTACCCATTTTCCGCTATTTTTCCAAAAATACGTTTTTGGGTTAATTTTTCAAATTCACGACTAAGTAAAACCCACTTTACAAATTTGGAGTTCACATGGGTTATTTTCCAAAAAAAATCCTTTTATGCATATTTTTCTAAAAATACCCTTTTAGGACTATTTTTCCAAATTTGCGTTCTTACTTGAACTTTTTCGTACTCCCTCCCATGTAAATGAATCCTAAAGCTTAAAATAAAACTCTTTAATTGAACTTAAAACAAACCTTTTTACTCAAACATAACGTATACACATAATGTGAACATAACAGGTAATTAACATCTTAATACCTTTTTTTCACTCTTTCTTTTTACACTTTTTTGCAATTTTTTTTCTCCCCAAAACGTTCATGCATATTTCTATCTTTCTCTCAATATTTATTCGATCGATCAAAATTATAAATTTTTAGCTTAAAAATCAATAATATTATTCAAAATCACTCCTTATGAAAACACTTCCAAATATGAAATTTAAAAAAACAAAATTGATTGGTTATCCAAAATTGGGAGACTATGAAGCCTTTTTTGACTTCTTATTAATTAAGAATATAATGGAATTTAATTAAACTAATTTTAATCCATTTAAAAAAAAATAAAAATAAAAATAAAAAAAAGGAAGAAAATTCTTATCGGAGTCTCCGAATCCCGCGTTGAATTCGCGTTGCCGTCTCCTTGTTAGCGAAGGAGCTAGAGACTTTTTTTTTTTAATTGTTTAATTTTTACTCTTATTTTAATTTTTTTTTTTTTTTTTTTTTTTTTTTTTTTTTTTTTTTTTTTTTTTTTTTTCAAGTAACGCGTTGTCGCCTTTCTTATTCAAATACTCCGTCTTCGCTGGCTTCTCTTCTTCAACGCAATCTCTGATTTTCGTTCATCTCTTGCTCCAATAGATCTCATTTCTCCCTTCACCAATTTTGATTTTTTGCTTTTTGTTCCATCCGAAGCTTTGTAATCCTTTGATTCTGTATCCGATTTCGTTCAGCCTCAGATTCTTCCTTCTTTTTGGAGGGAATTCAAATTTATCCGTCGTTGTTGAGATTACAGAGGCGATTCTTCCATCCAGAGGTTTATTTTCTTGTAATTCTGTTTATGTTCGCCATGAGCGATGTTGAGTTTTCGGGGTTGATTCTTGAGTAATATGGAATTGGCTGTTGCACGGATTGAAAATGAATCTTTACATTCGTCGGGAAACTTCGAAGGTTGGTTATCTTAATTTGCTATATTATGATTTCTTATAACGCTGTTTAGTTTCTTCTTTGATGTTGCTTTTGTTTAATGTGTTTATTGTTTTTTTTGTTGTTGTGGCGGAAAGCTTTTGAAGAGAGTCTCCGCAGAAACCACCACGGAGATCATCCTTCTCGGAGAGAATTGGAAATATCTTCTCGGGGGACTCGTTTGTCAGGTATCCTTTAATTGTGAGAATTTTAATGGGAATTTGTCTGCAAACTCAATTGTTGGTATCCAATTTTTCTGTGTAATGGTGTTTATGCTAACAATAGAATAGTTCTTGGAATCTGGATTAGAAAAGGTGTTTAAGTTGTTAGAAAGTTACAATAACATTCAAATATGCTTATAAATTTGAGAGGATAGTAATTGTTCTTTAGATGTTTATGTCAAAGAGTTGAGTATATTGGAGCATTTGTTGTTTGTTTCTTTAGTCTGTAATTTTTTCATCGCCCTCCATGTCTGACATGGGAAATACTTCTTTTGGACAGTACATACATGGTCTAGCTGCTAGAGGAGTTCATTATATACATAGGCCTGGACCTGTACTTCAGGATGTTGGCTTCTATCTTCTTCCGGTTAGTATCAAAATATTGCATCCTTTGATTTATAATTACATTATCTTCGACTTTTATGTTTATTTTGTTTGTGTTTGAATGTAGGAGCTCGGACCCGACAAAGCTTATCTCAGTGAAACTTTGTTTTCTTTCGTCTTTTTATCCTTTTTCTTGGTGAGGTTCCACCCTTTGCTTTTGCTATTAGTTTTCTTTCATCTTTCTGTCTTGCTTGTTTTATTATGGGTCACAACGAGCATGAATTCCTGCTGGCATGCTAATATACACCTTTTGCATCAAAATCGTCTTAATGAGGCGATGATTTCTCCTCTATTTGCTCCCCTTCTTACATTCAACATTGTTACTATGGTATGAACTATTGTCTTTCACATTTTGTTCAAGTCCTTGAGTTTTAGCGTACTGAACTGAGGGCTTCTTTCTAAGGCTTGAATTTTTGACATTTTGTTTCGAGGGGGCAAAAACAATTGTCATATGAATTATGAACAAAGGGGGTCTTTCTTGGTTGATTCCTGAAATTTTAGTAGAAATTTCGGTGGAATATAAATAAGATGCCCTTATAGTCTAATGTCCATGACATAGTTTCTCATTAAGAAAAAAACTTGATAATGTTTTTGTTTTACTTTCTTTCATTTAGATGCAAATTTTGTTTGCTGATATCTATTATCTATTCATTGACATACATCGATTTTCTTGAGTGTTTCTAATGGTGGAACTTTCTGTTGCAGTGGACTTTCCATCCTTTCATTCTCAAAACTAAAAAGATCTACACAGTTCTGTTATGGTGTAGGGTTCTAGCATTTTTAGTTGTAAGTACAACTTCTATTACTTGGTTAATATTTTGACTCTAGTGGAATGATTTTCATTTTAACGTTGCCACAACCATCTCCCCTACCCCCTCACCCCACTCAAAACCTGGTTTCATGATCGGTCTCTTGAAAGAAAATATTTTAAGAACTAGATATTTTATGTTACATCCAACTTCCTTCACATTGATATTATAAGCCCCTTTTACTTGTTTTTGCAGGCTTCTCAAATTCTCCGAATTCTTACATTCTACTCGACCCAACTTCCAGGTCCAAACTACCATTGCCGTGAGGTACAATTTCTACTGATATCTGAATATGGATTTGTTCATGAGTGAACTTGGTTGATCAATATAAGGTTTCTATTTTGTAATAATTTCAATATGGCTACTATAGAAGGAAAACGTAAGTGACTTTTGCACCATTTTTTTACAGGGTTCAAAACTTGCCACGTTACCTCCCCCCAAAAGTATCCTTGAAGTTTTCTTGATATGTAAGGAATCGCCACAAATGTCCAAAGTCATTAGAGATATTATATAGTTGACATTGTTCCTCATATGGTTGTTGCATTTGCAGTTCCGAGGGGTGTATTGTATGGTTGTGGAGACTTAATTTTCTCATCACACATGATCTTTACTCTTGTTTTTGTGCGCTCATATCAGATATATGGTACTCAGAGGTATGTTCTTAAAAAATTACTGCAATACAAACAAAGAAGTGGTCAACTTTCTTGCATATTCAGCTGTGGATGCATTAAAATTTTAAAGTCTAGCTGATGGTTTGTTTTTGCGACATTTTAGGTTCATAAAGCAGTTGGCCTGGTTGCTGGCTATAGTTCAGAGCATCTTAATTGTAGCCTCACGGAAACATTACACGGTTGATGTGGTAGTAGCATGGTATAAAAGATGGCCTTTCCTCTTGCTGACTCGTATGTTGATAATGTAGTTATGCTTTTTAACTTTTCACTTCCTAAACTGTCTAGCTTTCTGCAGGTATACGGTGAACCTAGTTGTATTCTTTGTCGATAAGAAATTGCCAGGTTACTTATACTTTCTTATCACCCCCTTCATTTAATTCCATAGATAGTTATTGAATATTGTTACTGAAATACGCAAGTTTCTTATTCCAGAACTGCCCGATCGAACCAATGTCGGTGTATCTACATTGTTACCATTGAGCACGAAAGATACCAAGACAAAAGACGAGAACCATAAGCTCATCAATGGGAACCCCGGGGACTCTGCAGATAGGGTACGTATCAAGCATATATATGTTCTATTCTACATATGAGAATTGCATCCAAAAACTTCTTTTTCCTGACAATTACTTGGTTCCACTCCAGAGGTCGAGAACTCAAGTAAATGGCAAGATTCTTGAAGAGGGAAATGCGGTTCAAATCAATGCCTCTATGAATGGTGGTGCATAGAGCAACAGTAAGTTTTTCAAATGGGCCTGGAAAAGAGATTTATATGAAACTGCTCAATCTTAGATTTAGGAGGGTTGAATGAATCTGGTTTGGAATCTGTATCTGGGATTGTTGATTTGAGTTAGTAGTTTTAACTCACATTTGACCCCCACAAAAAAGAAAAAAGAGAAAGAAAGAGGAGTAATTGAGTTATGCTTCTTTGAAAAAATTGCAGCATCTTTTCTCTACTTCTTCTCTGCCTTAAATAGCGCATTAAATGGATCATAAGTGTGGAGGAATTGATGGAAAATGGACAAAGCATTTAGAAAATAACACACACTAGAAAGCATTAAACAGGGTGGAAAAGCGAGCCCACATTAGAGAACAGCAACGTTTGGAATGAAAAAGTTTGATGAAATAACATGCGGGAAAGCAGCACATGATATGATGTTGCCTTTTATGATGAGGATCTTGCATGTGCTGTCCCAGCTAAATTAATGCTTTTCCTGCTCATCCCCACCCTCAAACCAAATCTTTCTCTGTAGGGAAGTTCTTTGTGTCCTTTTTATTTTTTTAATTTTGATCCGAACAGTATCAAACATCACACTCACACAGGTGATCTATCTATCTGTCTGTCTTCATTTTAAAAGCAAACTGCGGCCTCCAATCACATGCCTTTTTTGTCACATTGGTTGGTTCTCATCTCCATGCGATATTTATGCATATTGGACTAAATCCACTGTGTTCAATCAATACCCTCTTTTTAAATTGGTTCAATTGTCCCAGACATGATGTCATTTTAAAAGCAAACTGCGGCCTCCAATCACATGCCTTTTTTGTCACATTGGTTGGTTCTCATCTCCATGCGATATTTATGCATATTGGACTAAATCCACTGTGTTCAATCAATACCCTCTTTTTAAATTGGTTCAATTGTCCCAGACATGATGTCATTTTAAAAGCAAACTGCGGCCTCCAATCACATGCCTTTTTTGTCACATTGGTTGGTTCTCATCTCCATGCGATATTTATGCATATTGGACTAAATCCACTGTGTTCAATCAATACCCTCTTTTTAAATTGGTTCAATTGTCCCAGACATGATGTAATTAATGCCCTTCTTTTGGTATGGTTTGTTGGATACGGTTGTTCTATTAGTTTACGATTATAAGTTATTTATTCTACAAAGAGATTTCAAGAATCATAATTCAACAATTATGAGCCAATTTGAGTATAGCTCAATGATGTACGTACTCAATGGGAAAAAACATGGATAAATAGCAAAGAGAAAAGGGTATGAGAAAGAATTAAGCATTTGGGAAAGCTTTCATGGATGCAATCCAAGACAGACTCTATGATTTACAGCAAAGCTTGGGATTGTGTTTATGGGCGTTATGGTATGGCTGACACACACTTGACATCAAACCAAAAGGAGACCCATTACAATATAACAAAGAATTATGATGATGGTGTAAGAGGTTGTTGGGTTGGAAGGCCAAAAGCCACAGCTAAGTGGCCCCAAAAACGAAAAGAAAAGCAGTGCTTGCCGCAATTTAAGCCTCTCGACCCTCTCAGTGATGGAAGAAAACCAATGATGAATTCCTCTTTAAACAGAAACTGCTAATAATATATTTAATGGGTCAATTCCAAATGCTGAAATTAACCATAACTTTGAGTACTCTAATGATGTTTGTTATGATATGATTGAGGCATGTCTTGACCACTTTGAATATGAAAATGAGCTTCCTTTTCACTGTAATGAGGGGTAGTAGTGGTAGTGCCAATCATAGCGCCACCGTCTGTCAGACCAAAAACTTGCCTCTCGACCTCCATTGTCCTCCTCCTCTTTGCTTGCTTCAAAGCTAATCATTTTTGGGCTAATCATTGTGATGGGGGCGGAGGATTTGAAAACCCGTTGTTGATTTGCTGTTTGGGATTTGAAGGAGAGTGGATTAGGTGGAAGAGAGAAGGATTTTTGGGAGTGGAAGTTCGTTGGGGCATTTTGACAAACAGGTTGTGGGCATGCAGTGTTTTTGAGTGTGCGTACAGTTGCGTTCAGGCTGGTGCCAGCCTCATGCTGCATGATCAACAACTACCATGGTGTGTGTACAAATCTTTGTAACAATAATTCCTAATTTTAGGGTTCCGTTTATGTTTATTTGTTAAGAGCTGTGAGTTTTTATTTTTATTATTTTTTTAATTAAAATAAATGGAAGAAATCAACTTTTACCTTTAAACTTGTTAGAGATTAATAAAATGAAATTGAATGTAAGTTACAAAAAAATAAAATAAAAATAATTAAATTTGGGGATCACAAAACATTTAAGTACTTTTTTTTTTTCTTCGTGAAAAATACTATTAATTTATTGAGTTGAACAAATATTAATTTCAAATTAACGGTGAAGACTAATTTTAATATGTGACACTCGAGTCAATAACAAGTATACAAATGAATTAGTACTATATTTGAATGAGAGTGATCCTGAGTATAGGATGACTTAAAAAAACTTAAACGAATTAAAAATCACTACTTATACCAACGAAATGCACCTTCTTTTTCAGTGGCTCAATCATAGAAACTTCATAGTTAAGCGTGTTTTATTTGGAACAATTGTATATTTGGTGACCTTCTACAACGCATGCTGGAAGGACTCGTGTTGATTTGTGGGAATAGTCTTCACTCGAAGCGAGAAATAGATAATGTGACTCTATAACAAGAGAATGTCGGGGTCATAACAGACCAATATCAATCGACTTTGACCATCATAATAAAAGTATTTAATCTTTGTTGTGGGGATTATATTTCATAGTGATGTTTATTTTAATACATAGTTTGATACACTTTGTTTTCATGAATAATATATATATATATATATATATATATATATATAATTGAGTTACAGAGGCACATGCTATGCTGCTATTGAAGACAGCCTTTCACATGCACTTCATGACTAAGTATGAGAACTTGTCCTTATTTCCAGTCTATTTCTAAGGCAGAATGTTTTTTTTTTTTAGTTTTTATTTTATTTTATTTTTTTAAAAATTTTTCCCTAAATAAATAAACTATTTTTATTTCTGTTTATAAATTAAATTGCTCTAATTCAGTGGATTTACATTTAAATAAATTAAAATAAAATACTTACTTTTCTGTAATTCCTTAATTTTGGAATATTTTTCCATTCATTAAATATTTACCAACAGCATGAACTTGACTGAAAAAAAAAAAATTAGGAAATAAAATTTTAATTTAAATGTTTAAGAAGAGATGAAGGAATTTAAGCTACCCACCAAGTCAAAAATAGGTGAAGGAAAATATTTAAATGGTTTTAAAATAAATATTAATATTTAGCCATTAATTTAATTGTAATTAATATTAGTAATTAATATTAAGCTGACCCAAAAAAAAAAAAAGTCAAAAATAGGTAATTTCAACTACAAAAAGTTGAATAACCAAGGCAATTTCATTTTTTTCCCTAAAAAAAATTTAAATATTATGTATTTTGAATTTCTTTGTATTTTCTCAATAACGCTTAAAATTAGTCAAATTTTAAAATATATTTGCATTAATTTTTTTCTTATTGGGAAAATCATTATTATTATTTAATAATATTTTATATATTCCTTATTGTAAACTCGTGGGACTCACGTGGGACTTTCATCATTCAACACCTCCACCTCCCCTTAATTGAGCCGCAACTTCTTTTTCTTTTAGAGTCTCTGTTTGACACTTGAAGATTCTATTGTCATAACTAAGTTTAGAGTATGGCTCTGATACCAAGTTATATGAATACTACTCTTAACAATAGTATGATATACTTTAAGCATAAATTTTCATGATTTTACTTTAGGCTTCCCCTCGTAAGATAATATTATTTTGATTATAAACTCATAATCATTCTCGATTTGGATGAGGGACTTTTGTCCTCCAACAATAATTTAAAAAATATTAAAAAAAATAGAAAATAAAAACAATTAGAGTTTAGACAAAAGTTCTAATTCCAAGTGCTGTTTTTTTTTTTTTTTTTTAAACAGAGGGCTTTACGTCATTGATTTCTTTGACTTTTTCAAGCGATTAAACAAATCCGACCGTTTGATTCAAGTTTCAGTCCATGTTTTTTATTGCAAGCTGACAAAATTGAGCAATTGGGTTACCTCAAATTCAAGATCTTTTTTAATAAATCAAAGAGAAACTTAAAAAAATGGTAAAGAATTAAAGAAAACAGAGAAAGAGTGGAATGATGAGATTAGAGAAAAGAAAAGAAAAGCTGAATCCACAAAGCCAACTCTCTTTTGCATAAACAAACCGACATGAAATTCAAGAGAGAGAAATGGATTCAAAGAATATAAAAGAAATTAAAGTGAAATGTTCGTATAAGCAGAAAAATTTTGGAAAACAGGGAGATTTTTTTTTGAAAATGAATGCTATTTGATAATTTTCTCCGCCCCCAATTTCTTCATTTCTTCTCTGTTCTTCACAGTTTGTTCATATTCCGCCATTAATGGGGGCTCGCTGCTCCAAATTCTCCTTCTGCTGGTTCCACTCCCACCTCAAACCCTCTGTTTTGGAGTCCTCTGATTTGGGTATCTTACGTTTTTAATCTCCTCTGCTTAATCTCTGTAAAACCCATTTGTTCTTTTTGCATTTTCTTTGAGTTTCTTTCGCCATTGATTGCAGAAAATGCGAACAAAAACGACCGGAACTTATGGCCGAGTTTCACCCAGTTCAGCTTCGAGCGGCTGAAGGCGGCCACCGGCGGATTTTCGTCGGAGAATATCGTGTCGGAGCATGGAGAAAAAGCCCCTAATGTCGTTTACAAAGGGAAGCTCGATAATGGGCGATGGATCGCCGTTAAGCGGTTCAACAAGCTCGCATGGCCCGATTCTCGCCAGTTCCTTGTTCGTTAACTTGCTTTGATTCTCAAATGTGTTTTGTTTTGCTTAATTTGTCTCGGAAATTGATGGGTTTTTGATGTAATTCAGGAAGAAGCAAGATCGGTGGGGAATTTGAGGAGTGAGCGCTTGGCGAACTTAATTGGATGTTGCTGTGAAGGCGAGGAGAGGCTGCTTGTGGCAGAGTTCATGGCTAATGAAACTCTTGCTAAACATCTCTTTCACTGTAAGTTCTTGCAAGGATTTCATTACCCAAATCTTGTGATTGTTTGTGAATTATTAGGAACTTTGTGAATGGAATGTTGGAAAGAGGAAGAGATATGAGTGTGTTCATAG